AGATTGCGACAATGAGATGGAAAGAAGTCAAGAATCGTCTATCAATCTAGCTATATAAACTCCATCAATTAGGAAATTGATAGGCTTATGTCGTACCTGAAAATCATTAACGACCGTCGGTTTCGCGGAAGGATTGGTTATTCCATTTTTGATACTCATCACGTAAGCTTGCATTCTGTTCATTCCATGACTAAAATGGCCACAATAGTCGGAAGTCATTAAGTGATGGCCAACGATATACCCATCCTCGGGGGTTGTTCCGACCTTGCATAAACAATCGGAGATAAATCTGATCACCTCGTTCTTAGGAACCACCATGTTAGATAGATTAGTTGACGACGATGAGGACGATGTCGACGATGTCGATGATGTCGACGATGTCGACGATGTCGATGATGTCGATGATGTCGACGATGTCGACGACGACGACGACGACGACGACGACGACGACATCGTCATTTTCTTCACCCAATCGAATTTCATCAACTTCGACACACGAGTTTTTAAGATACTTGAAAGATTTCTGTTCAATTTCCACATTTTTCTTTTTTTTTTTTTTTTTTTTTTCCTTATCGAACGACTTTATCGATTAATTCAATTCCTCCTTGAGTAGCTAGCGTAGAGCTTAAATATTTGATTGACAATTAGGCGATTGAATCGTTATTGATTACTATACGTATTCGATATACTCAACTGATCGTAGCAGGAAAAAGTGTTAATTTTACAAGTATAAATTATCACCTCTTATCACGAGTAACTTTAATAGAATCATGTTATTAAGAAAATTGACGATCCTCGAGATTGATTTAAACGTAATTCGCTTTTATTTTAACCTATATCTTCTCTTCCAAATTATACGATTGTATCTCTCTTTTGATTGTTAATCGCGTGAACTTTACGTTGTATCGTTCGTGTTGCGCGCCGATCGTTTGAATTTGCCGCTTCGAGAAAAATTTCCGGTCAAGACTACTCATCTCGCTCGTCCATTTCTTCCTTTCATTGCTACGCTGTTGGAAAAGAATCCTTCGATTGTTTATCATCCATCCCATATATATATATATATATATCCATCGATCAAAAATGAAAATTCTCCTCGAAACTTTTCAAACTCGATCGTAAAATCGTTTCTCGA